TGTGCTTTCATGGCAAAAGAAAATTCTGGATCATGGCGTGCATTCAGTTGTCATATCTCTTTAGTTTCCTTTAATCTGGAGCATTTCCTCAGTCTGTATTTTTTTTCATGACATTGACATTTTTGAAGAGTGCAGGCCAGTTATTTTGTAGAATGCCCCTAACTTGGGTTTATCTGATGTTTTCTCATGATTGGATTCAGACTATCCATTTTTGGCGGGAGCACTGTAGAAATAATGTTATGCTTCTCAGGACATCATGTCAGGTGGTGTAGGATGTTGAATTACTGGTAATGTGATCTTAGATCACTTCATTAAAAATCCATCCTTGCTGATTTATACCTTCAAAAAAAAAAAAGATTTTTTTTTAAGTGTTTTAAATGGTACTGTCTGCCAGGTTTTCCCATGTAGTTACTATTTTTCCTTTTGTAGTTTTGTTGGTAAAATATACATAATATAAAATTTACCAGGTTAGCCATTTTTAGGTATATAGTTCAGTGGGGTTAAGTATTCACATTTTGTTTCTAATTTTCAAATACCTTTGAGAAAACACTTTGAGACTTTATAGATGTTACTTCTTGAACTTTTTTTTAAATTTTTTTTTTAACATTTATTTATTTTTGAGAGTGAGTGAGAGCATGAGTGGGGGAGGGGCAGAGAGAGAGGGAGACACAGAATCAGAAGCAGGCTCCAGGCTCTGAGCTGTTGGCCCAGAGCTTGATACGGGGCTCGAACTCACGGACTGCGAGATCATGACCTGAGCCGAAGTCGGACGCTCAACCGACTGAGCCACCCAGGCACCCCACTTCTTGAACTTTTACTCACCAATTTTAGTATTGATGGGTGATTTCTGCCTGAATCATTTTCATGATGGTTCCAAAATAGTAGATTTAGAAATTCAACCTATAGAATATGTAAATCTACCATTTCTTCTACACTTATTTATAATAATACTTTATTTCATAATTATTTATTTTGATGCTGTTCCCCTTTTGGCCTTGCTGTCCCTTCAAGCCGATTCCTATCTCCCTTTGGCTTACCCTACTCATTCTTTGAGCACTGCCTCACTTTTTACTGCAGCAAAATGTAGGCTCATCTTGCACTTTCCCAGCCTGAGCCCTGGAATGAGTTATTTCTTTAAGGAGCTCTGGTTGCTTTTGCTAGAGAATAGTTTTAAAAGCCGTGATCTGGACCCTAGATGCCCTCATTGCTCTAGGCCCTCTCAGCAGGCACGTGGAAGCAGTTGTGTTGTGGTGTGTGTGTGTGTCCGTCCACACACACTCAGTACATCTTCATCTGTCTACTGAAAGCAGTGAGTTTATACTGATAACCTCTGATTCCAACCCCGTACTACAGGGTTTATTCTGTCCTCCCTTTATTCTGTATTTAGAACTCCCTCTTCCAACAGGGAAAAATCTAGCCCTGTTATTCATATTTTTACTTATTGGCTCAATCTTAGAATAAACTTAAGAATTGCTAACTCATAGCACTATTTAAAAGTCACCTGAGCAGAGTTCAGTATTTGTTGATAGGTTTTTCTTTAGCCTAAAGGTATATACTCTAAATCTCCAGTGTCCAATAAGGTAGCCACTACACATGAATTGTTTTGTAAATGTAAAGTATACACTGGAGTTTGTAAATTTAGTATAAACTAAGGAAGGTAAAAGATCTTATTAGTATTTTAGTAATATTTTTATGTTGATTATATACTGAAATATTTTAGATATATTGGATAAGATATATTAATAAAGTTAATTCCACCTATTTTATTGAAATGTGGCTATCAGAAATACTAAATTACATATGTGATTCTCATCATGTTTCTGTTGGACAGTGCTGATCTAAAAACCATGTTTAAAAGTTACTTGGATTTGTTTTCTCTCCCTAGCATTCTTCCCATCCTCACATGGTTATGTTAGTCATTTGAAATACAGTTCAGTTTTTTTTTAATTTTTTAATCTTTATTTATTTTTGAGAGACAGAGAGAGACAGAGCATGAGCGGGGGAGGGGCAGAGAGCGAGGGAGACACAGAATCTGAAGCAGGCTCCAGGCTCTGAGCTGTTAGCACAGAGCCCAATGTGGGGCTTGAACTCACGAAACGTGAGATCATGACCTGAGCCGAAGTCAGACGCTTAACCGACTGAGCCACCCAGGCGCCCCTGAAATACAGTTCTGAGTTTATTTTCATTCTGAGTTTTTCTCCCCATCCTAACTGATCTTCCTTATTTTGGAATATGTGAAACGTTAACATGGTTCCAAAAGTAAGAATTGTACAAAAAAATGTATACTCAGAACAGTGTTCCCCCCTTTTTTTTCCCCCTTTCCACCGGTTTCTACCCCACTCTGTAGATAACCAGTTTCATCATTTTCTGAATTATCCTTACTGTGTGTTTTCCCTCCGGGAATGATGAGATACATGTATATTTTCTGATTTCTTCTTTTTTACACAGAAGATATATACTATAGAAAACTTTTGTGCTTGGTTTTTTCATTTAACACAACATATTTTGGAACCCATTCCATGTCAATTTATAGACTCACCCTCTCTCTGTCTGTCTTTTCCTCCCTCTGACAGTTGTGTATCACTACTGTGTTGTGAGGATGTTAACCATTCTTTTATGATGTTTCCAATATTTTGCATTTACAAACAGTGCTACAGTGGCTAACCTGGTCATATATATTTTTGTATGTTGGAAATATATCTTTGGGTGAATTCCTAAAATGGTATGTTTGGGTCAAAAGTTTAGAAGCACGTGTAAATTTCTTAAATATTGCTGTATCCCCTTCTGTGGGGGTTGCATAAATTTGAATTCTCACCAGCAGTATGTGAGAGTGTTTGTTTTCCCATAACCATCAGAGTGTTGTTATACTTCTTAATTTTTGCTAACCTTAAAGGTAAGAAGTGGTATCTCCATATAGTTTTAATGTTTATTTCTTTTGTTAGTAGTGAGGTTGAACATCTGTTCATATGTATAAAGGTCATTTAAATATCTTTTTTGTGTTTGTTAATTGTTTTGTATCTTTTTATTTATTTCTCTATTAGATTTTTTTCTCCCTCAATTTTTCTGAGTTCTTTTTTTTTTAGGGATGCTAGCTATTTTAAGTTCTATATGTTACAGGTATTTTCTCCCAGTTTGTCAGTTGTTTTTTGGTTGTGTGTGTGTGTGTGTGTGTGTGCGTGCATGTGTGTGTCTGTTTTTAGGCATTTATCTAGTTCAATGTTTCAGTCTTTTGTTGCATCTGAATTTTGGGTTGTAATTGGAATACCTTTCTCTTTCCCCAAGGTAGAGAAGAATTTACACGTTTTAGTTGTTACATTTGGATCCCTGCTTCGTTTAGAGTTTTTTTTTTTAGTGAATATTATACAAATTTAATAATCTTCCAAATGCTAATTAGTCATCCCAGTATATTTTTTCTTTAAAAAGTACAGTTTTGCCCCAGTGTTTTGAGATGTCATGTTTAGCATACATTAAGTTTCCATTGAGTTTATTTCTGGACTTTCTACTCTTTTGCACTGATCTGTCTATTCCTGTACCATTATCACGCTGTTTTAATTATAGAGGCTTTGTAGTATATCAAGGGATAGCTTTTAACATTTTTAATGTGTCATGTTTCATCTTTATTTTTCTGTTGAACTTTAGTGTCAGCTGTCTATCTCTAGAAGAAAGTATGTTCAAAATGGGATTTTTATTGGGATTACGTTAAATTCATAAATTACTTGAGGGAGAACTGACGTCTTTATGATGTTGAGTAATGTTGAGTTTTTTTTTTTATCTGAGAACAAGGAAACAAGCTTTCCATTTGTTCACATCTACTCAGGAATGTTTCAAAGTTTTTATATTGGTTTCGTACACTTGTTAAATTTTCCATTTTTAAAAAACTCAATATATTTGTAGATCTTTGTATCAGTTTTTATAGAGCTACATTATTCTTTCTAATGACTATTTTTGTATAGCTTAGATATACCATAATTTATTTAACCTTACCCATATAGGTGGACGTTAAAGTTGTTTATAATTTTTCACTATTATAAATAGTTTTGGGAGAAGTATTATGGTAGAGGTCAGTTATTACCTTATGATAAAGTATTTGAAGAATTGCCTGGTCCTAAGCCTCTTTGATATGTAAAAGATTCTGAAATATTGTTAAAATGCTTTATACGTTATTAAAAGGTATACCTCCATCAACAATGTGTGAATTCTTCTGTCTACATTTACCAAAATAGGACCTTATTGCTCTTTAAGTCTGTCAGTTTGATGGGCAAACAAAAGTACTGTGTATTTATATATTTATTTTGCATTTCTTTGGTAACTGATATGATTTATTTTTTCTTTGCTAGCTGATGAGGTTTATTTTTTATCCATCCATCCAACCATCTGGCATATTCTTATTGAGCATCCACCATATGCCATCCTGTAAGGTAGAATTGTAGTTATGACTAGAAGTTGAGCATCTTTTTGTGGTTTTCATCATTTGTATTATTTTGGTTTTTTTTCTTAAAAAAAAAGTTTTTTTTTAACATTTATTCATTTTTGAGAGAGAGACATAGCCTGAGCAGGAGAGGGGCAGAGAGAGAGGGAGACACAGAATCTGAAGCAGGCTCCAGGCTCTGAGCTGTCAGCACAGAGCCCGATGTGGGGCTTGAGCTCATGGACCGTGAGGTCATGACCTGAGCTGCAGTTGGACTCTTAACCGACTAAGCCACCCAGGTGCCCCACTTTCTCTTTTTTTTGAAGGCAATTGATAGGCATCTCTGCCCCCTCAGACTAGTTCTCACAGGACTGAGAATGAGAAAAGATGACATTTTCTTATTCTGTTTGGTTGATGAGCTACTAAAAAGTATTTTCATCTGTTTGTGTTTATTTTCATTGCACATTCTATGGTAGGTAAATGTGTTAAACTCTTAGCATTTGCGAAATGAGATAATGAAAGTTAAGAGCATAGACTAGTGTCAAAGAAGTAACTATATATTTTTATAAAAATAACTTTTATTATTTTCCAGGTGAGACTGCTGTTTATCAGAAGGAAACTTTTGTACCATTTGCCTTCAGATAAAATCTGTCTGCATGTTCTAGAGTTTTATTATTCAAAAAATAAATGTCATTTATTTGGTAAGTCAGTTGACTATACTTGTGCGTATTTTATAGAACTGTCGTTTATTTACTCTAAATATTTATTTGCTTATATTTTGTTTCTTTTAGTGTCATTTTAATTGTAACTCATTTAAAACAAGTTTGAGAGTGGCAGTTTCCTGAAGGACTGAGGGTCTCTTAAAGATTTTCTTCTATTCACTGTTCTTAATTTTGGTGTTTGCTGTAGAGAGAACAGGGGCTGGTTAGATTAGAATTAGTTCTCAAAGCTGGGATACTGGTTTTGCTTTGTTTAGTCTCTTCCACTGTAGGAACAGAGAATTGACATCCTTTCAAGCTCTAGAACTTCCCTCTCGTTCATATATGGAGCAGTGAAGAAGCTATGTTATTATAGAGGTGTAAAGAACTGACTCAGGAAGATTATATCTTCAGTAAGGCATAAAGAAGCAGAGTGAATAATGCTATGAAAGAAATTAGAAATGAAAAATAATGAGATAGCTAGTGAAACTGATTTTAATTATTTCATATTACTCTATAGGTGTTCTTTTTCAATTAAATTTTTTTCCAAGAAGACTTAGTAAGTTGATATAACCACTGTTATGTAAGACTTTCTTAGTCACATCCTCTTGCGGTCTTTTCAGTCTGTTCCAGCTTGTTTCTAATGTTTTGCCAGTGTTAACTGGGTAGCTGATACGTAGGGTGAAGTCTTTAGTGGCAATAAGAGGGTCAGTCATAGCAAATGTTAGAAGATAATTGTACTTGGGTGCTGCTGAAGCATGTGGCAAAAAATTGGAAACTATAATGAAATGATACTGGTGACTTGAAGAATTTTCTTTTAAATGGTTTTACACAAAAATAATGAGAAGTAAATATTGACGTTCAGAGCTTAAAGTATTCTCAAATGGAATCTAAGGATGAGGACTATAGCTACAGAAAAAAGAGGAAAGAAGATTCTCCTATGATATCTTTTTTGGTGGTGTCTTTGCTTTTGTTAGCATCAGAAAGCGTACTTCTGATATTCCTAGAGGGGGTATATGGCTGCTATGAGTAGAGGCATGAGATTTCATTGTGCATGAGTCTGAAATGGCCCCAATCTTAGAGCAAACCAAAATGAGTTTTAATCTTGGTTATTTAAAATCTCCTTGTACCTGTCTTATTAGGAGTATTATTTTTTTTAAGAAGAAACTAATTTGCAACTGGCTATAAAGAGTGACATTGTGTCCGGGAAAATGGTGTACTAACACACTGCGCTGTCCCACAAGAGTACTTCTCAAGTCCCTGAACGCAGTGCTGACAATCTGTGAGGGCCTGTGAATCGTTGGGCAGCAGTTGGGGAAGACGGCCAGCAGAGTGAGGTGGTTGTGTGTAAGTTACAGAGGAGGTGGGAGGGGAAGAAATGAGAGAAGAGCAGGGCAACTCTGGTTCTGTGGGCAGTTGGAATGGAAGCTATTCTTGTGGGTACTACTGAAACGATTGTGAAGTGAACAGCCAGAGGTTGTGTGTGAGGCAGAGGGGTTTGGTGGAGTAGAAAATTGTGTATTTCACTTTTCCTTTCAAGGTGTCAGTGTTTCATTCTGTCATCAAAACTGTAAGGCTATGGGGCGTCTGGGTGGCTCAGTTGGGTGACTGACTTTGGCTCAGGTCATGATCTCACAGCCTGTGAGTTCGAGCCCAGCGTCGGGCTCTGTGCTGGCAGCTCAGAGCCTGGAACCTGCTTCGGATTGTGTGTCTCCCTCTCTCTCTACCCCTCCCCTGCTCACGCTCTGTGTCTCTCTGTCTCTCAGTAATAAATAAACGTTAAAAAAAATTAAAAAAAAAACTGTAAGGCCGCATGTTCTGTTGATGAGAGTGTGGATTGGATAGATTTAAAAATTTTGAAGAGACTAGAAATATCACTTCCTACCAGGAAATGAGACTATAAAAGTCAGGGTGATAGGGATGGGGCTTATCTTTTCCAGGAATTATTGTAATGGTAGGAAGGCCAGTTACCATATCGAGATCCCCAAATGACTGGGCCTTTATCTCAGACGAATATATATCCTGTTATTTATTTATATATTAGATCTTACGTACGCATACCATCAACTAGTGTTGTTTAGAACCACCTGGCCAGCCATGGCAGTCTTCATCAGACATCAGTACGTGGGTTTCTGAATATTTCTGGGTTGTGGAATAGACTTTAATGTGGGGCAAGTTATGGTTCACTATGGTTCAGCCTTTGGCTCTAGCTAGACTAGTTTCTGTAAGTGTCTCCAAAATATCACTTTCTGACTTACTGCGTCTTCATATTGTTCAATCTTCTTGCAGTGTGTCCCTTCAATTCTCTTTCTCTATACCAGCTTATAAAGGCCTAACTCCAGTTCCACCTATTTTATTACATCTTCAACCATTCTAGGCCCTTACTGATATCTCTCTGGGTTTTTATCATTTACTGCTTTTCTCTTTACTTAGCTATCAAATATTATTTTAAAACATTTTTTTTTTTTTTTGAGAGTGTGTGCTCGTGTGTGAGCAGGGAAGGGGAAAAGGAAGAGGGATAGAGAGAATCTTAGGCAGGCTCCATGCCCAGCACAGAGTCTGATGGGGGCTCAGTCTCACCACTGTGAGATCATGCATGGCCCGAGCTGAAACCAAGAGTCAGATGCTTAACTGACTGAGTCACCCAGGTGCCCCTAAAATGATAATTTGAAAAAAAAATATTTTATCTTCCCAATTAGATGGGGACAACTTAAAGGGGAGGCTACACTATTCATGTGGTTCAAACCATGTTATATTATTGTAGTCTTTATAATCTGTACTGTCCCAACATAGTATCTGTATCAGTACAGTATCTGCACTTAAAAAATATTTGACTCCAAGAAAATGCCATTACCTATTGTTAGCTTTTACCAGTCTTTAACATTTATCTTTCTTTTTGTATCATAAGAAAAATAGATTAGAATTGCAGTTTTAGTACCTGAGTCATGTTTGTTCAGTACATCGTACTTCTTGGAAAAGCCTTCTGTAGTGCTCTCTACAGGCTTCCTAATTTTTAAAGGAACATTGCTCTGAAGAGATTATATTCTAAGTTAATTACAGTATTTATTCTTGAATCTCCAATTAGTAAGCTTTCAATCTGCATATAAGAGAAGCTCTTATTTGTTAATTATCTAATGTTTTCTTTGCCTACTTTGAAGTGTAACTTGCTTTAGTTTCTCAGTTCCTCACCAGCCACATTTGGCCTTCACGCTTGCTAGCATAGCTTCAAGGAGGGGGAGAGAGACACAGATTTGTAACTATATCTCTAACATAGGGATTCCACCTCCTTTACAATTGTTCTCCTATTGCTATTGCACTTTTTTTGTTTTTTTAAGCTTTTCTCTGCTGTCTGTTTTACCCCATTTTTTAGGAGGCCTATATTCTAGTCTAGTACACTAGTTCAGGGACTTTGGAATCCTAACCAATGCTTGGAAGCTGTGTGATTTTAAGTAATTTAAGTTTCAGATTTCTCATCTGCAAAATTAAGATACCTAGCTACCTCTTAGTTTGTAGTTGGGATCAAATGAGATAATATAGAGGCACCTGGGTGGCTCAGTTGGTTAAGTGTCTGACTCTTGATTTCAGCTCAGATCGAGCCCCACATCGGGCTTTGCATTGACAGTGTGGAGCCTGCTTGGGATTCTTTGTCTTTCCCTCTCTCTCTGCCCTTCCCCTGCTCTTCTCTCTTGCTCTCTTAAAATAAATAAATAATTTAAAAAATGAGATAACATATATAACACTCAGCACAGATTAAGTCTGGTTGCTTCTACTTTGAAAATTTACTGTGTGGTTTATTAGCTTTAGTCTGTAAATCCTAAAGGGAAAGAAAGATCAAGGTTAATGCATGTCATGTTTGAGGTACAGCCCTCAAAGCATTGTCAATTTCAACTCTGTTGTCAACTGTAGGATGTTAGGGATGAAATCCAGATAGATCAGTAGAGGAACTAATTTCTAATAAGTCTAGAAATAACAGACCAACCTCCAGATGTCTGGTAAGGGACATACGTTTTAGGAGGGAGTTTTTCCTTCTCTCTCCCCCCTGCCACCAGGTATATATGTGGAATAAGAAGCAGAGCTTTCTCTCCACCTTTCAATTACATGTTATATTGCTGTTGTGTTCAGTTATATTACAACTTTGGTCTATATTACTGCCTTTTGAGTTGGTCAGTAATAGGTGCACTAACATTAAACTGGGAATAGTTAAGTAGGTGAACTACCGGGATACCATGTTAGTGGAGTGTGAAAGAGGCTAAGCTACGGACTGTTTCCCAGCCTATAAAGCGTGAAATCAGTTGGTGCCGATGCATGGTGACTATAGTCACTGGAGTGTAAAATAACTTGAGGACATGAATTGTGTTTAGTTGTGAGAAAAACCTTTTCATGCCATCATTTGTTTATGTATTTTGGCACCCCCAGGATCCTGCTGGAATCATGCATCCTATATCTTTCATTGTCTTAATACTCAGATTTCTCATGGAATGTTTCTTCATTTATGCAAACCATATTCTTGTCCAATTGCATGCAGAGATGCAGAGGCTGTAAATCTCCAGATTTATACTAAAGACTAATACTAAAATACTGTAACTATTATATTCTGTTTAAGATGACATCTGAAAATACCATCTTCTACAGGGATTTGATGTACCAGTTTCTTCTGTTTGGAAACTCAAATTTGAAGTGCACTCTACATTCTGCTTTGAAGCTTCCTCCAGTCTAAGAATTGTGTTACCAGTTTCACTGGTTGCTATTCCCATGTACACATGTGTCTCTGGAGAAAGGGAAGTATGTAGAGAAGGATAATGTTTTCAAATGGTTGGGGGAGTTGGTAGGAAGACGTATAGCGATTATTCTTATGGGGAATAGAAGAGAGGGAGTTTCTCTCCTGACACCTGGTGAGGTTCTTCACCATATGGTTTTGAGGGTGAGGCAAGGTGAATGAGGAAGTTTCAGAGACTACAGTGAATTATTATTGTCAGCACTTTTAAGTCTGGAAGGTTATTGGA